AAAACAGGGCTTTATCATAGTTACGAGCGGAGCTAACTCTTTTTTCGATGAAAAGGAGCGATCCATGGACAAGTAGGCAATTTCGGCCGAATCTCAGATAACTTACCTTCTTTGGCACAACTCCAATAGGAGTGTCGACTCCGATGTCGGTCTCACCGTCGAGTCGACGGACAATCCAGTCAATTACACGGATATTGTCACCATAACCAGGCCAGAGGAATTTGTTGTCGGCATCCCTACGGAACCAGTTCACGTGGTAGATCTTGGGTACCTAAACAGAAGTTATTTCTTGCTACCAACAGACGACCAGATTTCTTAATAACCCCAAACAAACCTTTCTTCCATCCTTATTCAGATCAATCCAGTGTTGGAGGTATTTTCCAAAGTTGTAACCCATAAATGGACGCATCGCCATCGGATCATGCATGACCGTCTTGCCTGAATTAAGCAATTCACATTGGACGCTAAATGGCTGTCCCATAAATCACGCATGAAGGGCCGCAAAGTCTCGCTGTCTGCGTACTTTCATGTTTTATAGCTGCTATGGATATAATAATGGCTCGGTGAAGACCGAACGAAATTGGATTATGGGCTACGGTCGACGAACTACTTGAACGCGGTTCTTTGAACCGCCTCAATTTGTTCTCCCGCCTGCGCTCTCTCGCCTTAACAGCGGCTCATGACTACTGTGATCTCACACATTCAAACTTTTGCCACACTGTAATTGGCTCACCCACCCGATGTCCCTCCCCTTCAAGGCTTGGAGCTCCCTCCTTCCACCTTCGGATTGGATTGGGAGCCAAGCGAGGCGCCATTCCTCAATCGTCTGTGCTCTAGCCATTCGTGACAGGGCCGTAGGAGAAAGTTCAAGTAACCCGTAAATCGGGTCCATTGCGAGCGGTAAGCACAGCGCTTGATCGTTGTCTCTATGACGCTACGTGTGCAAAAAATCAAACCAATCGATACACACTGCTACAGGAAGAGCTGTTTTCTAGTGAAAGCAGCCGCGGAGTGCCGCGATATTGCTTTGCTAACAGCTCATGAGCTCTGCGAATGAGAATCCACGAAATGCAGCAAATACATATCGACTAGGAGAAACGAAGGAGAGTAGAACCGGTATGGAGAACTGTAAGAGAGAAAGAATACGAGACTCGAAGGATCACGAAAGCGATTCGCCTTTTCTCCCATTCCCCGACCGCCAGAAATTTAACGCATCTCTGATTCTTGTGATTCTCCAACGTTCCCCTTCAGCGATTCTCCGTGTTTCTGATTTCAGGATCAATTCATGCCTAATTCTTTTCGCCAATTCTCCAGTTCTCATGTGTTACATCAATTAGGAACAAGCCTTACGTTTTTAACGAAAGCAATGCTTCAGAAATCGGTATGCAAGGCTTTCTGTATGGCTACCTTTGTGCTCAGCAGCAGCGGTGGCTTCAGATTTGAGACACGCTCCCGTGAAGATACCGTGCAACCACGACCTCGTCTCGAACACCAACGGGACACCAGCCGGACGGCGACCACCGAAAATAATGGCCTGAAAATGGAGGAGATAATATGACAGTTTGGTTAAAAAAAAAACGCAGCCAGGTCATAGGCAAATCTTGTAAAAGGCTCACATCAATTGGAACTCCTTTAGGGCTTTCCCATTCTGGGTGGATAATCGGGCACTGGGAGGCTGGCGCGGCAAATCGTGAGTTCGGATGTGCACAGACTCCTGGATCGCCGATTTTCCATTTCTCGCCGAGCCAATTGATCATTTCCACATTCTAGAAAGCAAGAATTGTGAAACACTGATTAATTTCACTTGTTATATGTTGGTTCATCACAAGGTTCTTACGACAGCAGATGAGATTAAAATAGCACCTTAAGGATATGAAAAAGAGGCAATCGTGAATTCCGATTTAAGCCCCGCCCATCGGAACCATCCGCCCTTCGTTATAATTACATTGCAATTGTACAACAGATAGGCCCGTGAGATGAAAGTCCTTCAAGACATCGTAGTCGTTGAATAATTCTCCTAATTTCGTGTTCTTCTACACGAGTGATGGGTTATGGGTTGAACTGTACAAATTTTTAACAAAAAAAAACTATTTAGTAAACTACCACCACGTTTTAGAAAAGTATATAATCGCAGAAGAGGAAAACCATGTGAGTAATATTTCGAGTTATCGACTGATCGTCCGACGCCCTCATCAGAGTAAATCAGGGAGAGATGATCTCTTCTCCGAGCCACATCATCGAAGAGTCATCCAGTTTTCTAAGGCGTCCTAAGGCGGTCGCCTTCCCATCTGCCTTAAGGAGCTGTTTGGGTTTCCTTCTCGCTTTTATCCGCGTCTTATATCACAACAAAAGGAGCTTATAAGCCCTTCAGCTCATGTAGGCTTTTCTTTTTCCAGTGAGGTACTACTGAAGCTCAACTGGCACTCGAGCCCAATATATTTCTCTCCGCATGCTCTTTCAACTGTCAGAAAAAATAGTAAAGATTACCATCGTAACTTCCTCTCGGGGAAATTCATACGGGCGTGTTCCAGATGCAATTGAACCGTATCTGAGTACGCCTATGGAGAGAGATCGCCGTGAGAAGAGGCGCGAAACGAGTGTTATTTTCATAGGCAATGTAATCACACGTCCCAGAGCAACTAAGATCAAAATATTTACTACATTTTAACCCGCCGACTTAACTGTGCGACTTGTCCACATTAAAAGAATAAACGAAGGCCTACACTTCAGAGTGTGCAAGAAACTTCATTTCGGGTCTTCTCCCACGTCACTTTTGGATAGAAGCGCAATCCCCTGCTCACAAGGTTTCGGTTTCTGAAACCCCTCCAATTTACAACTTCGTATTCTGTCAAGAGAAGATTCTTTGGCGTTGCTCCATCGACGAATAGGGTTTTCGCGCAAGTGACCCAAACCCAAGAAGGTATGCAAGGGGCTGTGAATTTTCAGAGGATCTCTTCTTCTAGATTTGATTATGAAAATTATCATAGTAACAAATTTTCATAATTACCCTTGTCCTTGATTTCGTCCTCCATTCCTTCCCAGAAGTACTCGCCATCAGCCGTTTCACCGACATTCGTGTGAAGATTGAGTTCTTCTGGAACGTAGCGACTGCCATCGGGTTCGTTTTCTTGGATGTACCTTGAATAAAACATTTTTAAGGTCAGCAGTTTGATTAATCCAATAATATTAACAACTCCAAAACCAAAAGCCTCAATACCTGGTGCAACTCCGAAGAAACCTGATTCAGGGTTGATCGCGTACAGGCGACCGTCCTCACCGAATTTCATCCAGGCGATGTCATCACCTATAACCCAACACAGTTAACCAGCTCAGGGCAAAACAAAAAATGTACCACTATCAAGAGCCAGTTCTCTATCTATGGCAGAGTTTACAAAATAGACTTGATCCTTATAGTAATCCCTGCAACCTTCTAAGGCCCATTTGCATACTCAGAGGGCCCTTTTTCAGGGAGAATATATGTAACACTCACCAACACATCGGACCTTCCAGCCAGGCAGAGCCGGCTCAAGCATAGCCAGGTTCGTTTTACCACAAGCTGACGGGAAGGCGGCTGCGATGAAGTGTTCCTAAGATTCATTAGGCTCTTTAGTAATGCATGGTTATACTTTCTGAACGGACACCCTTCGTTCAAGTAACGAACTCACCTTTCCATCCGGCCGCGTCACACCCATGATAAGCATGTGCTCGGCCATCCAGCCCTCGTCTTTGGCGATATTGGAGGCGATACGCAGGGCGAAGCACTTCTTACCTGAACAACTCTATTTGAAATTGAGAAAAAATAACAAAAACGGTTCAATAGGAAAGGTTAGGAGCGCGAGTGTGTGCTGCGAGGTCGCCTTGCGGTCAACAAAGCTGAGGCGGTGAGGACGGCAATTTTGAAAATGTAGTCAAAGCTGAGTGATTGGGAATCTCGTCTTGATGCATATGCTGAAAACTCCATGGATACCAGAAACCGCGTCGCAACCGCTCGCGTCATAGCTGTCCCGCCTCCACATCGGTTTTTTTGTTTTGGAACCCATCAGTTCATACAATCTCCCTTTTATGGTGCTCATATCTCTCTTTTTACACATTTCCTCTCTTCAATTCTCTGAGAGTTTAGATCCGTTTGAAAAAGCACAGAAACTTTCTTACCAAGCAGGGAATTGCCTCCATAGCCAGATCCGAACGACCAGATCTCCCTTTCGGCGGGTCGATGGGCGATCAGTACCTTGTCAGGGTTGCAAGGCCAATGATTGATGACACGTTCTGTAAAGAAAACAATGAACACTTGCTCGAAAGTACCACACATTTGCTCGATTTCATCATCAACTCGCTGGGTACAAAAAATTAGCGAACAAATATTTATAGAAGATTTTCTGATGGAAAAAGCAATCTGATGATGACTTTCTGCTTTGCAAACGGTGAAAACTCACGTTTCACTGGTCTTGGCAGTCCGACTGAGTGGATACATCGCACAAAGTCGTTTTCGCCGAGTGCATCCCAAACATCGTGGCTCACACGGGTCATAATCCGCATCGACAGCACCACATAGTTCGAGTCGGTCAGCTGAACACAAAAGAAATCAATCGGGAGGCATCAGAGGGCATCAGTGACATCAAGAGCACTGATCACCACTAGTGATACCGAGTTTTCCCAAAGCTCCACTACGTGTACTAATGTGTGTAAGAACAGTGTGTGAAAGTATGCAAGAAGATCCAGGAGAGGATCCCATTTCATTCCCTACTACTTCATTTTCACTTTGACTATTTACTATGGTATGCGTCACCCGCCTCTCCAATCCTAGATGACCTCCCTCCAAGCCAATTCGTTCCTTAAACCTGACAGAGGATTCCACGACAAATCGGAGGTCGAAGAAGGGGAAAGTACCTAGTAGGCAGGCAGACCCCATAAAGGTACGGACCGGCGCACGTTTCCAGCGAAGGGCATATCCCGAGCGGCCTGGCGGGGGCTACCCGTGCCGCTACAGTCTCCCAATTGGCTGACCCCTCGCAATCTGACTCTAGTCGCTCTAGCAGGCAGTGTCCACGCTGATGAGGTCAGCACCGATGAGAATCGCCTAACGCGCAAATGACGAGCAAAAAAGGCTGGGGTTTCATTTTTAGCGTTCTGGTACGTTTTCTCTTGGTTTCTTCTATCCCTGCATGACTGTACACCTCTACCTTGATTTTTAAGGGGCTGTCTTTTCATAGGATACTCCGCCTCTAAAGGAGGACGTTGTGGTGTAATGGCAAAGCGGCCACTTGTCGCGGTTAGTCTAGGTTAACTTCTGCTCAGGCTAACCAATCCTCTTTTTCCGGGGTAAAAATTGTCTCGAACTCCTCTGGAGGATAAATGTCTAAGAATCACAAAAAAATGACGAGGAAGAATATTGCTTGCAAGTGACTAAGCTGGTATATGATCTGCCTTTTTATTTTCTTTTTTCACTTTTATTAAGACCTTTCCCTGTCTTTGAAGACCGTACGAGCTATGTCCACAACATACAGTTAAAGGCAGCGGGCACAACTGGCTGTTCACACGTGGCATTCTAGCGGTAAGGGAAACTAGGAAACTAGGCGCTCAGCAAAATCGAATGCCGTGAGTTTTTCGAGTTGTCGAAAACAAAAAAATCTCTCGAAGCGACTTATCGAAACCCTTGACATTTCATTCTAGGTTCGCCCGCCACTAAATGAAGGCAGCAGTGGATGTGCTCCTACCATCTGCGCTCTACTTAAGGGCAGAGAGGCAGAGTACGCGTTCACGCTGTCGTGAAATCATGCGGAATTTCAAGACCCTATTTCGCAGATTTCTGAAGTTTCGCTTGTTTTTCTCCACTTGCCGTTCTCATTTTTCATTTGACCACCAATACCATAAGCCACTGTAATACCGTAACCATTGCCTTTAGTAATTGCTTCTTTACAACATCCTCATGAGTTTCGATATAAATCATATGAAATATCACAATACCTGCACTCCGATCTTTGACAACGGTCCTCCAATAGGTCCCATAGAGAACGGAATCACGTACATGATGCGACCTCAAATCAATAAATCACTAGCGTAGTGGAGCAGAAAAGGAGGACTCTCTTCAGTGGATGAAAAAAATGTACATAACGTCACCTACAGGTTTTTTTGGATCATCGAATCATTACCTGAGCCCATATGGTATTCCCTTTTAATTAGGTTCCTTTCACCATCCCCACTTCGCCCCCCCCCCTAATCACAAAAAGCCCCCAGTCCTGCAAAATAGCCCTGCTAATGCGGCATGGATATTGTTGATTTCAACCCATCAATCTACGAACGGTGCCCCGTTAGGATCTGCAACCCTAACCTCACTACTAAAAGGCTTGCCAAGTAGCTCCCGGTCTTTGTCCCATCTGGATTCAAGTGACACACACTATACTCACCAGCCATGCAACCAGGGAATCGGCTGTCCAGTTCGGTGGCTAAACTTTCGGGTGACATCCAATGGCCCATAATTGGCTCCACACCGTCAGGTGTGTGCGTTACTGTTTGATACTTGTCCGGTGTGACCATCCATGTTTTGGACTCGACACGCGCCACATCCTGCAAAGTGCGTAGATATCGATTTATTGATAACCCTCCCATTGATTTTCATCTGTCTACCGTTCTCGGCATTGCTTACTTTGGGATCCGTACGGCAGATATAGTTGTTCTCGTAGGCCTTCAACGGCGATAGCATACCACGCTCAATAAGCTTGTCAATGATCTCATCGGCTTCATGTTGAGATCCATCACAGATGTAGATACCTAGACGAAACAGAAATCAAAATGCAAAACGTTAGCCCACGGCCGGGATCGAACCGGCAATCTTCTGATTAGAAGTCAGACGCCTTATCCATTAGGCCACGCGGGCACTGCATGCGGCCGCCGAAAACATGTTTATGACAAACAGCACAACTCACCACGTGGGCGCATCAATTCGGCCTTTTCGGCCACGAAACGTTGCACTTTCGCTGGCAATAAGTGGAAGTCTCCCTGCAAAAGTATCCCTTTAGACACGATATTGGAGTAAGATATTGTAGCTGGGATCCGCTAGAAATCAACCTTAGGTGTTGCAGCTCAAACTGCGAGAAAACCAGGTCAAAAAATGTAGTTATAACGTTTGCATCCAAAGTTCCTGCTCATTCCCTTGATCCTTTATGGAGCGTTTTTTTTTTCATTCTACATAGTTTGGATATATGAATTTATTGGACCTTCCCATAATTTTGAGACTGAGAAAAAATGCAAAATTTATTAACAATCATTCAAAATATGCTCCATCGGAACCTTACCATTTTTCAAGTTTTTCGAACAAATCAATACCTCCGATAAAATTTCACATCTTCAGAACGAAAAAAAGTTGTCAATTTCCGATGCAAATACTCAACGTCGCAAATGTTCAAGTCGGTGTTCGGCCATCGAAGCTGCTGTTTTTGACAAAACTTGTTAACCTTTTGTGCAGCTGATGTTTCAAACAGTTGTTTCAGCGTCGTGATCCAATTCAAAGATGTAAATCAACATTTTTTGATCCAGCTCCAAACTTATTGAAGGACATAATAATACGCATTATCTTCATCTTCTAATTTTGTGACTTTATTGAGACTCTCCTGTTTTTTTTTCACTAGTAAACAAATTATTTTTGATTTTTTAACATTCAGTTAGAGGAGCATTCCACGATAAGGTCGAGGATCGAAGATGGGAAACCTTCCCGTGGAAGACCGATGGACCTTCTAAGGGTGCGTGTAGACACGCATTTTGCAATGAAGGATGCACTCCCAGCGACCGTTCCCGCGCCGCCATCGCCGCTACCCGCCCACCCCCTCGCCGTCTGGCTTCAGCCACCTAGCAGAGAGACGTGATGATGATAAGGTCAGCACCGTTGAGACACGCCTAACGCTTGAATTAATGGGTGAGTGGGTTCCACTTCCTTGGATTCTAAGCTGTTTTTCCTTTTTCTCCATCACTGTATCACCAACCACCCTTCTAGAGGGATCTTTTCATCGTAAGCTCCGCCTTTATGCCATCCGAGTTCTTTTCAATAGAGTTCCCATTCAGCTAGGTAATGGAGGTGTTATAGTTAGCACACCTGGCAATAACAACCTTCTAGTGGGTACTTACTTAGCTTACTTATTAAGCAAAAATTCCGTTTGGGTGACGAAAAATTGGAATAATTCTGGAAAATTTATCAGTAATCCAATTTGTTCCTATAGGGAAACTTAATCACTTGGGGGACAGCTTGCAGTCTGGTCCCCAATTCGATACACTTCTTTTTTGCGCTTTACCCTACTCCTGCACGTGACCCATTGTGAAAGTACTCCACTCCGTGCGTGTTTACAGGAAGGCCGAGGATGATTGCCTTCCCAGGGGAATTATCTTCGCTCGCGTCCATGTTCCCTGGCAACAATAATTCTTCCAGGAACGTGAACCAGGACACGATGTCTGGTGTTGTCAGTCTGTTTCGTTGCGCCATGCACTCGACTTCTATTTTGAATTGTGAAGGCACTTGAGTGCGTGTTCAGCCCATACAATAATTCATGGTGCCTCAGCTCCTTCCAAAGTCCTTGTTTCCTTCCTCTCCAAATGAACCTTCTACCAACTAATAGATTCCTGCGGCAAAAGCATGAATGGCACGGGTGGGATTCGATTTAGATTCGACCCAGCAGGGCATCCTCCTTGTAGCAGCGTCACCTTCGAGTACTTCTCTGTCGGAGAAAACTTTATTAAACGGATATTTCTAGTAACTGGTCCCTTAAACTTTAGCTCAAAAGCAGCCTCGCTTTCTGGAGACATCTGGAGATAGCCCCGAGTTGACCCACTCAAATCTGTCCAGAAATACGTAAGTTCAGGCAAGTAACCTGCGCTTGTTCAGTACCCAATCATTCTTCAGCCGGCTGTTTTTCACCCCACAGCAAAAGGAAAAATAGCCACCGCTGTCGCTGCTGTTGAGTGCTTCGCACAGCCACACACCCTTCGTGTCCTGTAATCGCCCTTTCGCTGTAATCTCGCTATAATCGTCTGTTGTCATTGAGCAGCAAAGAACATTTCCACGCCGCGCTCGGTTATACGTAACTCTTGCAAATGCTTGGAACGCCTGATGTAACCCTGCAAAAAAAACGCGATTTATGCACCTAGACCGAAATTGAGGGCTGGAGCACGACTGAGTGATGAGGCGTAAAATACTCGTCGTTGGCGAATCCTTTTTGTGATGAACCTGAACCAGGCTCCCAATGCTTAGCGGCAATCAACCATTCGCTGTATAGTCGCTTTGCCAGTAATTTACGGGAGAAAGTCGATTAACAACTCGGGGTTTTTGTCATCCCAGACAAGTCTCATACCAAATAGTCCATCTCCGAGATTGAACTATTGACCAGTCTGGACGCCTTGAGGATGTTCTCCCACCACTCTTACAATTACAAGATTTCATAAGAAGAGGGGAGAGGTTTAGGGTCAACTGGCCTGTTTACTTGGGCCTGATGCTGGTAATGCTAGCACCACTAGCAGTGTTTGTAGTCATTATTGGCCATCCTCGACCGGTGTCGCACACTCGAAAGGGAGCAAAAATGAGCCTACACTCCTAACCACTTGGCTATCCTTGAACCACACAACTCTGATCCCCAATTAATCAAACAGCGAAATGGGAAGCGGGGATAACCTGGGCCGTTTTTGATCCGAGAGATGACTTTGAACCGTATACGTTGGTAATGACGCCACTAGCCACTACACCACCTCTGCTCTTGGGCAAGAGCTTGGGACAACAA